ACAACTCGAGCTGGGGTTCTCACGATAGCCAAACAGGAAGTATGTCCCAAGTGGCACCGTGTTGGAAATTTTGTTTAGGAAATTGTTTGAGAATTTTGTTTGGAAAGGATTATGGATAATTTTGGATTTTGGGGAAATGAACCTGACAAGAACTAGCCTTGCTCTACGTATCTCCACTTTTGATGGAGAATCAAGGATCACGTAGTTCTGGCTGAGGGATTTTTTATTTGCTTGAAAGTGTTGATGTTTTTAGTTTGTTTTTGAAGATTTAATATTTTTTGGTATTTTTTGAGAAAAAGAAGGTGAAAAGGTTTTTTAGCACAACGACGATGCGAGCGATCACACATGTACTTAACTTTTAAAAAAAAAATTTGGGATTTTGATATAATATTTAGATTTTTGCGTAATGAGCACTAGGATGATGCGTACGATCGCACGAGCACTCACACGGTTTTTTTTTCTTATTTTTTTATTTTTTTTTTAATCAGCACTAGACGGATGCGTACGATCGCACGAGTACTCATACGATTGTTTTGTTTTATTTTATATTTTGGATAATGAGTACTAGGCTGATGCGCATGATCGCACCAGTACTCATACCGATATTTATATCATTACATGTTTTTTAAAGTTTTATATTTTTTTATTTTCTTTTTATTAAGAAAGAAAGGTGAGTTGAAATATCTATGACATAAAAATGTGAAAAAGCAATAGGAAATAAATTGTGGTAGAAATAGGATAAATTTATAAACTAAAAAAAATGTCAAAATGCATATAAATATAATAAAATAAAAATGTTGTACCTTTTGAAGATTTGAAAGATGAAGCAAGACTTTGCTTGTAATAAGTTTGTGGGAGAGTAGATTGATGGTGAAGAGATGAATTTATAGTAGAAATGGATATGGGATTTACTATGTTATAGAGGGATTAGAAATAGTAAAAGTGAGAGAAAAATGAAGTAGAGTTTTGGGATGTATGAAAATGTTTTTGAGAGAGAATAGATGGAATTATGCATTTTTTTTTGTGAATTGAAGGGAATGTAGGTATTTATATATTTAAGAACAAGAAAGTTGATGAATACAAATAATATAAATATTTTTGCAACCCTTTATATGACATAAAATATAATTTAACAGATGACTAGAAAAGTAATTTCCCCCTCCGTTCCCGCCCTCCTCTCCCCCGTTGGAAGTGGGCCCGTCGGTGCCCTCCCCTCTCGTCCCTCGTCCCCGTTCCTTGCCCCCTCGTGCCCGCCCTCCTCTCCCCCGTTTGAGTGGCCCCTTTTCGCTGCACTCCCCTCTCCTCCGCCCCGCTGCCTCTGCCCCCTTTCCTGTGTCCCCTCTTGCCCGCCCTGCTCTCCCCCGTTGGTGGCGCCCGTCGTTGCCCTCCCCTCTCTCCCCTCTTCCCCCGTTCCTAGTCCCCGTTCCTGTTTCCCCTCGTGCCCGCCCTCCTCTCCCCCGTGGGTGGCGCCCGTCGTGCCTCTCGTCCCTCCTCCCTTTCCCCTCCGTGCCCGCCCTCTCTCCCCCGTTGGTGGCCCGTCGGTCCCCTCCCCTTGTCCCTCCTCCCGTTCCTGTGGCCCCTCCCGTGCCCCCCCCTTTTTCCCCTTTCCTCCCCGTTGGTGGCGCCCCTCTGCTTCCCCCCCTGTCCTTGGCCTCCTTCGCCCCCGGGTTGTCTCTCCCCCTTCCTCTGGCCCTGCGGTGCCCCCCTTCCTGCCCCCGGTCGCTTCCCGTGGCCTGTGCTCTGTCTGGTGCTGTGGCTTGTGCTGTGGCGCGTGTTTGGTTTGTCCTCTCCGCTGGTTTTTGCGGCGAACAAAGTAAGAGATTATTTGGGCCATTGGATTAAGTGTTAAAAGAAAATTTGGGGTGCAAAAGTAAACAAATATTATTTTTCATGTTTGGTTTTTTATATTTTTTTTATTCATTTTGTGATGAAATTTAATTACTCAGACAAAATTGGGTTGTTGACAACACCTAATTAGTTCAATCCGGACGAAATTGAGTAATTTGAACAAACAAGCCAATGCAAAGGACAAATTAGTCCATATTTGGTGAGATAAAATAAGTTTCCTAAAAAATCTTCCATATATTTCTAAGTTTTAAAAAGGCTCACTTTGTTCTGCCATCAATGTTTTATTTAATCATAAACCCTAAAACTAACGGTCCACTGCTCTTCAATCAATCACACTTATTTCCTTTAGGATATCTAAGGCAAATTTTCTTTGAGAAATTACAATACCTTCCTTTGATTAAACTACTTCAATACCCATAAAATATTTAAAAAATCCAAGATCTTTTCTCTCAAAGTAATTGCATAATGATTCTTTAGCTAAGAAATTTTAGTGGCATAATTATGTTTAATGACTATGTCATCAAAATACACAAATTAGTACATGTATATCTTGGGATATACATGACAATAAAAGATTAGATCTGTCAAACCAAGCATGCAGAGATAGTTTAAAATCATAGATATTAGTGTATTTACGATGTAACACATACTCCTCCTGAGCAACAAAGCTAGAAGGTTGCTCCATGTAGATTTCCTCTTCCAAATCACCATGAAAAAAGACATTCTTGACACCACGAAGGCAGACATTCTTGAATCAAGTATCAATGAACTTTGACTTTCCGCAGTTTGAGAAATGTAAGAAGTTGACAAACAAAACTGAGTGGGATTTTGTGCTTGGCTGCTACATTTTAGTTTTGGATATTTATGATAACAGAGATAATTTTCTCCATTAAGCTTCTCTAAAGCAATTGAGAGTCCCAAGAAAAGAGGTGGGAGGTCTTGAAGACATTTTGAAGAAAGAAGGTAAAAAAAAAGGGATTCAAGAAGGACAAGAGGCTCCAACCTATTGGTTGAAACAATCAGTGGTGGAAAGCAAGAACCAAGGGTTGAAATATGGACAAAGGAGGCCGACAAACCCTATGGAGGCCATGCAAGCATTTGTCTTCCACGTGCATGATTGGGTGCACAAAGATGGTGTATGTGGGTGCGCATGGGGACAATCCAGCCTTTGTTACTAGTTGGGTTCTCTGTCGCTCGATGGCAGTGGCCAATGGTGGCATACAGGGGAAGATAGTGGTGGCAGATGTTAACCGTGAACAGTGGATTCTCTATCGCTTGATGAGACCTACATGACCGGGTGTTTGATAGAGAAAAAATGACAGCAGTCAACGGCTGACAACAGCAAGTGGCAGTATTCTCATTGGACAATGACGATAGGGCAAAATTAATCTGTTCTAATACCAACTTGAGAACAAAAATATGAGAAAGAGTGCTCAAGAGATTCATGCATCTCTTAGCTTATTCATGTATTTACAAGAGTCCTTACATTAGAGATACACAAAAAGATCTGAAAAGACTACACCTAGGTGAGAAATAGGTATTACGTAAATATGTTAAACTATCCTAACAAGTCAACCTATTCAAACATCTTAAACAATTCTAACATATTCAAAGCACAAAACAAGCAACTGAAGTGAAGAGACATTGCTGGATAAGACTATATCATACTGAAGAACAAATTATAAACGAGTAACATACTACAAATATAGAGAAAATAAATTTACCTGGCCTGCATCAGTAAGATAACCACCTATGATAGAAAATTCCTTTCTGTATATATGCATCAATAAATTTATAGCCCCCTGAAATAGGAGAAAGTTTATCAAAGATAATAGCATTCATAAATAGAAAGAGACATGTTCAGAGTAACAAAAGTCATAACCAAAGCATGTTTAGATCATCCCACACATCCCAAATATAGTTGCAAAAAGATGTAGATGGCAATGCCATATTTCTCGTTTCCAGCTACAGCTCAGTGTAACATGGTGCATTTTGGATGCTTACCTCCCTGATCTCCAATGTTGGCATATGTGGGAGGAAATCATTGCCAACAAAGAAACATAGAAATACAAAATCATCCACAACTCGTTCAAAGTCGATCTCAAATGGAGGTTTCGGTATCTCCAATTCAAATTGCAAATATTCACGCAGCACCCAGATGTTAAGAAACTGTAAATAATATGAATTAACTTAAAATTGAAAACAGAAAGCATATAAATATAAAGATACAGATCAATATGCTGGGATTTAATTCTCAAACCTGATATTTCTTCTTGTGAATTGGACTATCATCAGGAGTATCAAAGTTCTCAACTTGACAATCCGCTGCAAAATGGCCAACTTGGCCACACAAAAAACACTTATCCTGTTGACCAGGTAAAGTAACTACCTGTTCATGCAATAAGTAATCATTTGAGACAATCCATAGAGATCAATTAGCTAATATCATAAAAAGTCATACATTAGAAACTAACCTCCCTCAATATTGAGAAGTGAACCTCATGTGTAGCTAAGGAGAGCATAATCAAATCGGCATCCTGGTTTAAAGATTGTATCATGCAAATATCAGGGAAAGGATAAAGACACCAAATGAAGATAAAATGAAAATTCGAAACAGGACAAAAACTCACCAATCCATACAAACAATGTCGAGTATTTGGGTTGAAACAGGGAAGGTTGCGTTGTAACCGGATGTATTCCATTATTTTATGTTCTCCTTCACCAGGCGAATTTGAATCAGACAATATAACCTTCAAATAATTAATCACCCAATGCAGCCCCATAAATAAATATATAGAGACAAAGTATCCTGAAAACCAGATGTGTAAAGAAAAAAATATACGGGATTACTCCACAGATAGGAATGATCCATCTTGAAGGTATCAAGACATATAAAGAATTAATTGGATAAGGAGTAAATTGCACCTTTATATTCCGCCAGCTAGGATTGTGGTTCAATCTAGTCTGTACATAATACTGGAGAGCCACTGACAAGGCTGCCATAAATTGAGTTCCAGGGGTAATGACATTAGAGTCTGAAGTCTCACGCTTGTCTTTAGAAGACAAAATGTTTGCCTCACCCTCAAATTCTTTCCTCAGCCTTTCCTCTTCAGCTTCCTATAAGGTCACATAAGCACAATAACTCAAACTTCATCACAGAAAACGTAGGAGTCCCTTGCATTCAAGAGCAATATTAACATTCTTACAGCCTCAGCTGCATCTTTAGCAGCTCGGAAACGCCGAGAACGTTGCTGATTCATTTTGGCTCGTGGTGCAACACCATCTGCAAAGTACAAAGTAAGGAAAAAACAGGGAAAAGCTGGAGCGGTAAGAAACAAATGAAATGAGAAAGTGGGTTCAAAGTAAAAACAAAAGCTAGGAACTATCAGTTTGAAAGTTACAGACACACAGAAAGATTGTAGCTTTAGGAAAATTTAATACACCAATGTAGGCTTTTGATTTGCCAGTATCAGTTTTAATGTGGATTACATTAAGGTAAATAGAGGTCTTGACCTTCGTCTTGCACATTTACTTAGTTACATTCTCGAACTCCAGAGTCTTTTTCTATGTTAAATTATCCTATTCTAGCATAGAATAGGAATAGCCTATTAGGACGTTCAACTTTGCTGGATCTATAGATATAGGTAATCTTTCCATTTATTACATTACATTTAGTTTTCTTTATCGATAAAATGTGAAAATGAATCAAAGGAGCACTACATCTCAGAGCAATACTCTAGGTTTAGCAGAGGAGAACACTTGTGTAATTTTGTGTTATGTGAGTCAAGTTCATTTTGCTAGAAAACGAAAATTACTAAGGAAGAAGAGAGGAGTACGTCAGAAGGGATAAGACATCCTTGCAGAAACAAAGGTATTGGCAACCAACAAAAATGAGAAAAAACATCATAAATGTATTATACTCATACCAATTGCAAGGTACAGAAGCTTCCTTGGACGAACCAACAAATAGAGATGGTCAATGTAATCAAATACTGATTTAAACACATCATCATAGGTAGCAGGTGCCGGCTGCATTCCAAGAATTAATGTAAATTCAGCAAAACCACTCAGCAACTCAAGCAGAAACATAACGTGGCATTATTTCACTATATAATAGCTAATTGAATTAAATTAAGAAAATCAACACCAGAGCTTGAAACGTGAAGTATAAGCCGAAATTCGGAACTTCATATTCCATTCAGGCTGGGGAGTAAGGAGGAGGAAATAAGAAACGCTATACACTAACCGTGCCATCGGGGTGAAAACAAGGGTGGATAATGCCGTTCATGTCCAAGTACAAGTTATCGAATTCCATTCCGTTGGGGTTAGGTTTAGACGCGTCGATAGGCAACGGAACGCCGTCGTCGCCAACAGCGGGTTCATCCTCTACTACGTCGGCGATGGAAAGCGGGTAACGGTCGGCGAGCCACCGGTAAAACGCTGGCACTCCCATAGTTACAGTAACAGCTGAGGTGGGTTGATTCGTTCGCAAACGACGAAAAGAGAGAAGAAAATTTTGGATCTGTGTCGTTCACACTGATGCACTGTTCATCCGATCAGAGACATCAATATTCGTTAGTCAAACCACCTGAGCTCAAATGTTTTATTCTTAATCTATTCTCATTATTATTGAAGTTTATTTTTATTTTGTTTTTGAAATTCCAGTTAATTATTATGTTAAAAAGAAGCTCTTTAATTTCAATTTAATTCCTTCTAAGTTCTTGTTAAATTTTATATTAGTCTATCAAATTTGACATGGAAAAAAGCATATACATGCGATGCGATGTAAAAGAAATATAGTACCATTTACATTATTGTTTCATAGTTAAAAAGACTCGCCTCACTCAAATCAAAGTAAATTTATAAAAAAGAATTAGAGAAACAAAAAATAAGGTAAATTTAAAAAAAAAATGGTGTAATTTTGATCTGCAGCTAGATTAGAGTGTTTTGGTATTGGTGGAACCTTCTCCACAGCGTAATTCTTATTTCAATGAGAATGCCAGTGACTCATTTTAATTTCTTTTCCAAGAGTTTTGTGGAGAGAACAAGAATCCGAAAAGAAAAAAAAAACAAAATATAAAAGAAAGAAAAACAAAATATAAAAAAAAGAGAAACAGAATATGAAAGGAAAAAAAAAGAAGATGATATTGCACTTCTCAACACAATTTCAAATTATTTTACGATTTTACTAAAAAAAATATTTAAAAAAAGTACTTGTGAACACAATTTCAAATAGATTCCCTAAAATATATATATAAAAAAAAACACTACAAACTTGCTTTGGTGCACGATTTTTAAAAAACATCCAAAAAGATAAAAGTATTATAATAGTCACGACTTCCATACTTAAATGGACTAAAATATATGTCAAAATCATATTAGAAAACACTATTTATTTATTTTAAAATCGTGTCAATAAAAGATGAAAACGTGATTTGTGATTTGAGAATTTAAGACTTCATTTTTATCTCTTTTACTTATTTATGTGAATCTTTCATTTGCTTGTATTGTTTTTCTCTCATTTTTCCTGCTCTTTACATTATTTTTTTCTATTTTGTTTTTCGCCCCTTCCATCTCACTCGGTAGTTTTTTCTTTACTCATATGAAAATTTTCACCCCTTTTTTTTTCGCACGTTATAAGTAAAAAATTCCAAGATTCAATTTATAATAATTCAAATGTATATTATTTTAACTTTTATTTAAATAGATTATTCTAAATTTAAATCCACACATTTTTATTTAAAATAAAATCTACTTAATTGAATTGAGATGATATGGGATAAAGTTGATTTAAGTCAATCCAAATAAAGATTAAGCCAAATTGATTAAGAGTTAAATTTGTCCATATTAAAGCTAAAGTCAAATTGACCCCGACTAAAAAACTGAGCTGAATTGACTTAGGTTGAAAGGTCAAGTTAAATTAGCCTAAGTTGAAAGTTGAAACGTGTTTATTCAAGTTAAAGATTGAGGAAAGTTGTTCAATATAAATATCTAGATGAGTCACCTGACACCAGAGGTGAAGCTAAGTTCACCTAGGCTAAAAGTCAAGTCGAATATTAAGTGGCATTTGAATAAGTTACTTAGTGCTATAAATAGTAAGAAGGAAAGTGTTGATGGAGAAAGTTATGATAGGTTTGCAACGTTTTCAGTGCCAACAAGTATGGATGACTATAAATGGAAAATAAGAACATTTTTCACTCAAACGAAATGAATTTATAGAAGTCATTCAAACTTATGCATTAACAAATGCGAATAATTTAAAAATTGTTAAGAATGATAAGAAGAAGTTAAATGTTTGGATGTAAAGGGATTATGCTCAACAATCATCTCATATTATTGTTATTCCACCTCAACACCTCTCACTAGGCAAACCAAACATTATGCATAAACTGAAGTCTAGGAGGGAATGTATTTTGAAGCCATGATCCTCGATATGCAAATTTTTAATTAATTCAATAACATATAACATCTGAAAAGTGACATTCTGACGTCTTATACCTCTTTGATGTTTGAAATTAGAGCATTCAACGTCAAACATGATTATAGTTTTACTTTCTCATCAAACATTTTCATAAAATTTTCCTAATATACATCAAAAATTGAGAATTCTGACATCAAAATTTATTTATAAAAATGTCAATGGTAATTTTTTAAGTCGATTTTTTTCATAATGTGATGTTGAATACAAAACATAAAAAGCTTATTTTGCACTAGTGCCTATACCTTTAAATATTAGTATAAATAAAGCAATCTCTTAAAAGAAATGGATTAAAAACGTCAATTACAATATATTATTAAACAAAACAACACGTAATTCATTCCATACATTTTAAGTAAAATTAATGAAAATAACATATTTATTACACATTTTAAAAAAATCAAATTAAAATCTGAAAACCAAATTAAGAATTTTAGATAAATTTGAGAACTAATCGAGGTTTAAACCTAAAAAATATTTTAGACCACCATTTAATAAATCCAAACTCGAATGTTAACTTTAACATAAATAAAATAAAATAATAATAATAATAATTTATTTTCAAATTTTAATATTAAAATGTATCGATAAAATTAATTTCAATTTCAGAGGTTGAAGTTTAGGAAAACAAAATATTTAACACTTATTTTAAATATAATACTAAAAAGGCATTTTAAAAAAACACAGTACTTTGATTATGGAATAGATATTTAAAAAAAAGTTCGTATATATATATATATATATATGGTATTTGTAGTATGGATACGTGTTCGAAAAAATCAATATTCTTCTTAGTTTTAAGAGTTAAAATTTATTCTTGTTTAATTGCTATAATGGGTTTGAGAACTGGAAAGAAAAACAGACAAAAAAATTGTATAGACGCGTCAGAAAATTTTGAAATTATTAAAAAAGAAAATTGTATGAGGAGTTTTGCTGGTCGAAGAAAAAAACCATCTAAGCGAGGGAAAAATTATCCAAGAGGGAAAACTCCAGATGAAATGTCTAAGGCCTATTTTTCAACATAGAATTGCAACTTTTGGATGTTAGCGAGAAGACGCCAACGACTTATATTGTCATATTAGCTTGATATTATAAAATATAATTAATTGTTTAACAACATTTACACCAATCCAATATATTTCAGTTCTGCGTTTTCTGTGAGCCTAAAACAGGGAGCCATCCTTTGTATTCAAAGCTTTTACTTCCTGTCTTTGAAGGCATAAAAGTGAAGTCCTATTTGGTAATTTCAATCTCCATATTTTCGTACTGCGAGCTTTTGGCTCTGATATTGTGCTCAACGATTGGTCAACTGTTAAGGTGTTTGTCTTTAGTTGGGGTTTTTGGAAATGAAAGATTTTGATTGGGTATTCATACATTGTTCAAGGAATCAATAGGCAGAGCTTGTCATTATTGCAGACGAATTATAAGATAAGCTAAAAAAATTTCATTTGCTGCATGTAATTTACCCTTTGCTTGCAGGAGCTCTTGAGTTGATACAATGGAGCCGAAGTGTGCGATCAAGAAGGATGTCACTGAAGTAGAGCTGTTTCTCTGTTCTTTTACCTTTAAAAGCTTATTTATTCTGTTCCGCCATGTTTGTGGTATTTTCTTTTCCTTTTACGTTTTGTTGAAATTTTAAGAAATATTTTTCTTTTTGCCGTGCAGTTGATAGGGAATACCCCAATGGTATACCTGAACAACATTGTGGAAGGATGTGTGGCTCGCATTGCTGCTAAATTGGAGTACATGCAAGCCTGTTGTAGTGTCAAAGACAGGCATGGAATGCCTTGATTTCACAGACTAGAGCTATTTGGATCTGTAAGGTTTAAAGATTTATGAGGTTTTTTCCTGATAATCTTCTTTTTCTCTCTCAGGATAGCATTGAGCATGATTGAGGATGCTGAGAAAAAGGGCCTTATTACACCTGGAAAGGTTAGCTGTGTGAAAGTTACATTTACATATTTTTATTCTGGTGTGGAGATTCTTTGTGTTGCATGGGGCATGTGACAATACAGCCATGAACTTCTGAACACGGCTTTTATTTGGACAAAATTGTTTTTCTAGTTTCATCACCAAGGGCGTGTTTGATTTTCATTTTCAAAAGTTGTTCTGTTTTCAAAATGAAACTAAACAAGATGCTCAGCAGAGAATACGGAGTAGAATGTGGAATTGAGAGAGGTTGAACAAGATGAAAATTGAAGAAGATACGTGTTATGAAAATATTTTTTAAAACTTAAATAATATTTGGGAAAGAAATTGATTGCCGAGTAGTGTATAATTGTTTTAGAAAATAGTTTTTAAAACCAAAGAGCGAGAAGAGAATCAAACAAGTTCTAAATGTCCTTCAACTTTGGCCTGTAATGATATTTTTTGAGTTTTGGACAATAATGTTTTTCAAATCATAATAACAAAACATGGTTTACTGAGATTGTCTAATATTATTATTGCTTATAATGCTCAAGATTGGCCCTTTCTACTACTCATCAGACACTTGTTATATTATCTGTTTTGTTCAAGATACTAACTAAATTTAGTATTTTTTACTTATGGTTGAAAAGACTGTTCTGATAGAGTACACAAGTGGTAACACCGGCATAGGATTGGCATTCATAGCAGCATTGAGGGGCTATAAACTTCAGGTGACTATGCCATCTTATGTGAGTCTTGAGAGAAAAATTATACTACGAGCCTTTGGAGCTGAGGTATATCTTACAGACCCAGCCAAAGGAATTGCTGGGGTTATTGAGAAGGCAGAAGAACTACTAGCCAAGTCGCCTGATGGTTACCTTCTCAACCAATTTGATAATCCTGCCAACCCAAGTGTATTCTCATTATTCACAACACATTTCTAATTTGGTGGTTGCATTAAGAAAAACTGCAGCTGAATAATTTTCCATCATTGTAGATTCATTATGAGACAACGGGCCCTGAGATTTGGAGAGACTCAGGAGAGAAAATTGATGCTTTGGTTGCAGGGATAGGAACTGGAGGATCAATAACAGGTGCTGGAAAATTCCTCAAGGAAAAAAACCCAGACATCAAGGTATAATTTTTTATCGTACATACTATGCTGGCAGTGATCATGGGACAAGTTTTCTTATGCTAACTATATAATTTCTTCTTCGTTTCCCGCAGCTGTA